CTCCTCAGCTGAGCCTTATTTCAACATCCAGAGCCAGTTTAATTTCCTTCAGTTCCTCCAACTTCGCTTCATTTCTTACTCACAATGGTAAGCCTTTGTTTGCCTCCAAGGCAAAGGTACTAAATGTATGCTTATGAAACTTTCAGAAAGAACTTAGAAGATAAGGGAAATTTTCTCATTAGAAATCGGCCAAGAAAATAACTCCAGCTCACAGATGATGGCAGAAAAAGAAGTGAAGCCTGAGAATGGGTACACTTTTTATGGGAAAGGCAGATTTACAGAGAGAAGGAGAGACAGACAGGAAGTTTTTCCATGCAGTGGCTCACTTCCTAAGTGATTGCTACAGCCCGTGCTGAGCCAATCCAAAGCAAGGAGCCAGGAACTTCTTACGGATCTCCCACATGATACACAGCCCCAAAGCCCTGGATCATTCTCTACTGCCTTCCCAGGCCACAAGGAAGGAAATTGGAAGGAAATTGGAGCAGCTAAGACATGAACTAAGGATGCCCATATGGGATCCTGGCCAGTTGCAAGACAAGAATTTAGCCACTAGGCCACAGATAAATAAACTTTTTAAAGCTGCACATCCTTATTAGTAAGGAGCTTGAACTTTTCCCAATGACTCACAACCTTGGATTGTTTATAAATTATATTGATGATTGAGGTACTGCTAAAAGAAAACAGTGTGTACATTATAAGATATTAACATTTAAGAAGCTTAAATACAACTTAAATTGAACTGTTGCCTATATGGAGTAGGTTGGATATCCCATTTTGGGTGCATGATCTTATAAAATCATCAGGCTCCTGTTTTATCATCATAATAACAAATACTATCAATTTTGTGATATGTTCTGCTGAGGCAAATTATGGTGAGTCACTTCTTTAGAACAATGGTTCTAGCCAGTCTAAAAGGTCAATCAATCGGGGCATTCACCTTGCCTGACTTCAAGTGGGCATCATTTACATTTTACATGAGAAATACAAATGACTCTCATTTGTTCACTACACAACCTCAACACCCCTACCTGTGCACCCCCTGAATGTACTAATGACAGAATTCTCTGCAGACCACAGCTGTGAACTCTTTCATGGGGATCGACTTCATGGCTGCTCAGGATAGACAATCTCCTTGATCCTTAGGACACTCAAATCCAGAGATGATCATCATTGTTGAAAAGGCTCTGAGGGTTGATGAGAAGTGATGCCATGTATGAAAACAAAGGAACTCGGGGGCTATTTACCTAGAAGTCACATCAAACTGTTGTCAGGTACTATGCTTTCAACAAACTGTGCACATTCAAAATGTTCTTTAATCTTTTAAATAATCCTATCAGGACCTTATCATTATAACATCTATCCTACCTGTCCACCTATCCCCCTCCCCGCCACACACACACAAACACACAGTAAGAAGACTTTTTTTTTTTCCCAATCACATGCTCCCTAGCAAGTCTGAGACTGAAATGAAACTAACCCCTCCATTCACCCAGTAACTCCCACTATGACTTCTAGAGTTGAATGTGTCTTTGCAACCGCATCAAATTTATCAGCAAAGTCCTTGGGCTGTCTTTGAAACTCCCAATCAGAAGCTGGCATTGGTGCAGTGGTTAAACTGCTGCTTGGAACACGCTATTCCACATCAGAGTGCCTGGGTTTGATCCCAGCTTCACTCCCAGCTCCAGCCCCCAGCTATTGTCTCTGGGAGGTCTCAGGTGACAGCTTGATTACTTGGGTCTCTCATATCCATATGGCTGACCTGGACAGAGTTCCAAGCTCCCAACTTTAACCTATTGTTGGCATTTGGGGAAGATCTCTCTATATCCTTCAAATAAATGAACATATGTAAATTAACTAAAATAGCCTAAGAAAACAAGTTCGCTTTTATTTCAAACCATACTACTGCTATCACTGCAGGCTAACCTACTCCATGTGTTGCTGAAAGTTTCCAATTGCCTTTGAATTCTCCCCATTTCTGCTTTACCCCTTCTTCACTGGCTGTTACCAAAAAAGCAGCCAGAATGTTCCTCTCCAAACCATCCAGTGACGCCTCCTACCACTCTGAGTAAATGTAAAAGCCTTTCCAGTGTTCCACAAGGAGGCACTAACATGATTTGCTTTTTCTCCACCTCCCCATCATCCTCTCCTGTCACCCGGCACCCTGCTTACCCCGTGTGGGCCAGCTGCACCCTCACTCCCCACCACCCTCCATCCTCATGTAGTAGGCTGTCATGTCCATGTCTTGTCTCCTAGAAGCTTCAATGTCACCCACAGGGAAAAGGGAACTTGAAGATATGATTACATAGAGGGTTTAAAATGGGGAAATGGACCCATTTCATTTTGGTGGCCCCAACCTCATCACAAAGACCCTGGTAGCAGGGGAGCAAGAGGAGTCGGGACTCAGAAGGTGACAGAGCAGCATTAGGAGGGAGCAGGCATGAGGTCAGCTTCTAGAAGGTGGAAAAAGGAAGGAAATGAGCTAGAGCTCTCAGGAGGAATGCAACCTGGGGACACTGTGAAGCTTTAGCCCTATCAGAGCTTCCTAGACCGCTGGCCTGCAGAATCGTATGAGAATATTTGTATTATTTCAAACCAACAAGTTTCTGGTGATGATGACGGTAGGAATAAGAAATTAATACCTCCATATCTTGTTTCATGTTTGTTTTTAACACGATCACCTTGACAGCTCCTTATTTATTTCTTTATTAGTTGCGTCTCTCATTATAAGGCAAAGGGTACAGGAGCCAAGACTGTTTTTGTTTCACTGTCGCAAGTTCAACACCTTGCACAATTTGGGTTGTGTAAATGCATGGATGACATGTTTTAATTTGTTAGCAAGCTACAGTGGCTGAACCTCAGTAAAATGTTGGTGGAACACCTGGTCACAAATCTGTGTTCCATTTTCATAGACATGTCTAGAACAGGTAGAGATGCACACAAATGAATACTAGATAGTCCACATGAAAACAACCCAGAAGAAAATTCAGGACTGCATAGCTGTAAGCTGTGCTAGGAAGATGGTGGGTAATTCATCCCCCTCTAATGTGAGAGTCCAGCACCCTTCCCACAAAGCTGGGAGGAGCAAGAAGCCAACACAGGGCTTTGGCTCCTGCCTCAATTCACACATCACAGTTCCAGCCAGCATGGAATAAAGCAGTGCAGCAGGCTGGGCTGGGAACTGGGGCTGGACAACAGGGTTTATAATTGTCTTCCTACAGGATGCTGGCAGCCACGCTTTATAGAGGAGTTTCACACGCATGAGTTGAGGCCCAGGGTTCACTCTAAAGTCCATTCATTCACATCATCACACCAAAGGGAGTGCAAGCGTAAAGTTCTCCCTAAATCTAGTATGTACTGTGGGCAATCTTAAACACTTTAGTAATTGCATATTACTTTCAGGCAGTTGTTCCTGTGTCAAGTACCTGCAGAAAAGTTCCAACATTTTCTTTTCCTGCTACTTCTGTTTGGTGCAATACCAGTGAGAGGTGATTCCCTAGGGAGAGCCCCACTTTGTGAAACCTACAAATAGTGACTCAAGGGACTAGTGCTGTAATGATGACAATGATGATAGTGTTGTTGGTGGTGGTGAGGATGGTGATGATGGTAACAAGGAGAGCTCACTTGACCATTGCATGAAGCTGCAGGGATGCTTCTGCCCCGAGGAGAAAAGCACATTTAATAATCTTAAAAAAAAAAGTTTCTGCACGCCACAACAGGATGCTGGCTGTGGATATGAAGGCTAGAAGGCTGGCAGAATGAGTCCTTCAAATGCCACCCTTTTGCAGAGCCATTCCTGACCCTGTGCACACAGGTACCTTTTCTCTGCCCACCCTCAATACTCTGCTCATTCTTCTAGTCTGTCTCCCACTCTGCTACATAATTTCTCAAGAGCAAGCCCATCACTGGCACCAAGTTGTTGGCTTTCTGGGAGTGAGGGCTGTGACTTGGATGTCCCTGCCCTGCAGACGATCAGCATAATACCAGACAAAGTTGGTGAGTGTTGAAGAGTGAGCCAAGCACTATGCTGGGCACCTAGCAACAGGACTTACTGTTAAAGAAGTAAGGCATGATTTGCCCAGGAAACAATGAGCCAAAAAAAATACGAAGTAAAAGATCAGAAAGCACTCAACTTGTAAATACACTGTATCTCCTTTGAGTGTTATTGAGAATCAGGCAAGGAAATAATTAGTGTGGTCTGGGGATTTTGGTAGCTTTGTAGCATAATCACTTTATTAGCAGGAAACAGCAATATCTCTTCATCTTGTTTTCACACTAAAATGCATTTAAATATGAATATCATGTGTACAAGGATTAGGAAAAATGGTCTTCCATTTTGAATAATAAAAGCAAATTTTAAAACATTCTATAGTACTATGTTTTGATAGTATTGGCATCATAATATGCATTACATTATTAGCCTAATACAAAGATCACCAAAGTTCTTTGTTTCAATATCATAGGCATTAAACATTAATGTATAATTAGCATCGTAACAATACTGAAATCATTGACTTCATCAGAATTTTTACTGTATTGGTGCCAAAAGGGCAAGCTTGGTAACGGAGCATTTATTGGCTATATATCTAAAAAACCTTTGACCTTAGAAGCAGAGAGAGGAAACTTTAACACCTGAACATACACTTTTCTCTTACAAGCCTTGGTTTCATTTTCAAACATCTTGTTGAATAATGAGATTTAGTCAGATAGGAAAACGTACTTTGTGTCTGTCACAAGGATAAGGATTTAAACAGAAGAGTTGAAAAAGGGTGTTGTCCACGGTATATAAGTCAATGATTAAACACATGTTTTAATTACTAATAGTTCTTGTCTTTGGAGAAGTCCCATGTTCATCCTAAGTGACTACTGATATAATTAGTACCTGTGTTTGAGCATGTTTGAGATACAAGGATTGTGTGGCATTCCCTGCTCACATGGAACAAAATAAAACACCTTGCATGCCACCTGTGTGTGCACCTGTGCCAGTCAAAAACAGCGCTTACCTTCACAAAAAGATAGATCTCGGGATCCGTGGAAGTTGCTTCATCTTCTTTCAAATTGTTGGCATCAGCATAGTAGGCAGAGGGCCCCTTGCTTGTGGAGAAAGCCCTGCTGTGCTGGATGGAGAAGTTTGAGGGGGAAGCCGGGTCTTCCTTCATCAGGATTCCATTCGCCAATGGCTCCTCTGGGTAGCCTACCTGGTCCCAGGCTGGCAAATGTGGTCCTTCCATTGTGATGTCCCTGTGGTCCTGGGGTTCATCTGATTGAGAATCTGGAACCTCATGGTCCACCTCATCAGGCTTTAGGCAGCCTTCTGCTTTTAGCTGGGGAGAGGTGAAGTTGTGGTCTTCGCTCCCGTTGACATGGACTGACACTGGATCATTCCCAAGGGTTCCCAGCCTTGTGGCATACAGATGATTTTCTGGTCCTAGGTCTTCCTGGACCTCATCATAAAAAGGACCTTCATTTTCTTCTGGTCGGTCTGGCACCTCATACATCCTCTCTTTTTCGATTGTGTCATGAATGTTGCTGTAGTCACCACCATTCATGGTTGTTGAGCTGATAGCTCCTTTGGTAGCCAGAGTAGATCAGAAATGAGGAAAGGACAGAAGATGCTGCCTGCTTTGCAGGGAAATCACTAGGCTTTTAAAGCAGCAAATAGCAACAACTAATAATGACAGGTTTCTAACAATCATTTACTGAAGCTTCCATAAGCAAACCACAAGTCCATGGGACAAAAGATAAAGTTTACACACTCAGTTAACTCCTTCACTCCTACAGATAATTCCTACTTTGGATTTCTCTTACTTGTCAGTCACTCTAAGATTCCTTGGATAAGTCTGAGATCATATTAAATTATCAGATCAGTATGCACTGAAATTCTTCATAGTTAACCTCTGCCATTAACAGAACTCCCTTCTCTTTCAATTAACAACATGTAAGAAGTTCCTACTGACTAGAGGGCAAGCACATTCTCCTCACTGGTAACCCACCTATTTATAGCCAAGTGCATCACACAAAAAACTCTGCGTATTGAAAACCTATGATAAATGAGTCGAATGTGCTCCAGTTAGGTCATGAATCCTGTTCACGTTTCTTATCTGTGAGCACCATTAGGTGGCTAAATAGCAGAAGGACGAGAAGATAAGTGCTCTGGCCTAGACACATGAATAAAACCCAAAGCAAAAAAGCTAAAAAATTTATGGTTTTGACTTTTAATTTTACCCTTTGAAATTTACATGATTATCAGTCAACAGACATTCACAAAGATCCCATTCTGTACAAACCATTGAACTGAGCACTGAACAGAAGATAAAAGATACATTTTCTGTCCCCATGGTATTTTAAAGATAGTTGGAAAGACAAGGAAAGAAGCTAAGAATCTGACCTAGACACTACCTAAGGTGTTTGTAGTGCCGTTGGCCCAGGTCACTCTACCAGTGTCACAGGCAGAGCTCTTAGCTCTGCAGGCTGTAGCTCTTAGCTCTTTGCTTTTTACCTGATTCTCTATTCTGCTTTGGCCTCATTCCCCTATCCTACCACATGCAGCTTTCTCCTCTGACAGCCCAGACAGATTAAAAAGCAACTGAAATAACAAGATAGTATGTGAGCAGAGAGAAGAAATACAGCTCTGCTTGACAGAACTCAACACATTCAAGGTGTTTGCTATTGGCAAAATCCTGTTGTACTCTTAGGTGCCAACACTGTGTCCAAAATCTTAACTGGAACTAGAGCAACACTTCTGGAATCCTAGGTTTTCGTATGTTCTAAAAAAATTGAGGGTGAGAAGCAGAGACAGGCTTTGAAGACTGTTTCTGCTGACCCTTTTTCTTTCTGAAATGCAAGACTTCATGGGTCCAAATACGTAACAAACTGCAGTCATAGATCTTACAGCCAGACATTTACAAGTGAGGGTTCACAGCTCACATTTTAGAACTAGAATAAACAGATCATTCAGTCACATATCATATATATATGTATATGCATATATATATTTGTGCGTTGTATGTGTTTTTATTTGCTCCAGGTGGGAACCTGAACTGTCACTTTCCCTCATTCTGGATCCTTTCCGATGCCACAGCAAAAAGCCCTCAGCTTGGCTGAAGTGGGACAGTGGACATGGAGACTCCAGTCTGGGGAGTCTCAGAAAAAAAATATTTAAAAAAAAGAAAAAAAAAAAAAGCTTATTGCATGGGTGGGTCTGGATGAATTCCATGCTTGACTTTCCATGGTCCCCACTGCCTCACCTTCCCTGCACCCTCACCCCAGTTTCCATTTTGGCAGGGAGAAGTGGGAAGACAGGACTCCGCAGTTTCCCTCCTCCTCCACCTCATTAAAAACCAAGGTTGCGGGGGTAGACAAAACCCAGCAAGCTGCACCCTCTCTCCTCCACCCGTGGTTAGAACCCTTTCCACATAAGGCAACGTGGAAGCTGATGATTTTATTAATCCTGCTGTGTGAGAGCACCATTTTGAAGTTAGGTTGTACAGTAGTTGATAATACCTTATATATCATATATATTATAAATTATAAACAGCTGCTTCTGGAAACAGATTTGCTTCAAGGTCTCCTGTGTGGTAGGCACCTGAAATACCATAGAAAAGGGTCTGCTGTGATGTTTGCGTCCCCCTACCCACTGGCTGGGTCCTGTTCCGCATGACCAGGAATGGTGGTGGCAGGCACCCCAGTGGCTGGAAGGGAATCCGGCTGCCTGAATGCCTCTATTTTCTGTACCTGCTTGTGTTCCTATCTGATCAGGCTAGAGACAACAAAGGAAAAGAAAGACATATAGTAAAAAAAAAAGTTTCCCAATATATAGATTTCTATAGAATTTCCTCCCCCCCCCCCACCTTTCCTCTGCAAGATATGTACTCTTTCGTTGTGGTTAGATTTTTGCTGCAATGACCGTCTTGTTTCAGTTACAGCAAGAAACAAAACCCAAACAAACAAAAACCCCTCTGTAATGAGCAGAAAACAAAAGGGTTGCAAAATCCCAAAACTCAGATGGGGAAATTCACACACAGAGCTCAGGGCAGCTGGTCTTGCCCTCCAGCCCAGTCGTCTTTCTGCCATTCACTCCCTTCCTTAACTCTAGCGTTTTCTGATCTTTCCATGGGTCATTTATGAAGTAGGTCCCCTGGTATCCCACTCTAGAACACACCTCTCATGCTTTACAAGTATAGGCTGTGCTATGAAACACATCATGCTGCTAAAATGGAAGCCAATTAATCTCACACTTGCTTCCACTCCTTCCAATGGCTCCTGTAACTCAGGGAAAGCTGAAGTGCTCACACTGGCCCACGAGGCCCTACGTCACCCAGCTCCACTCCCTACATGTGCTTTTGTGCCCTTTACTTTGTGCCCTTTGCTCTACTCTACACACTCTGGCCTTGCTTATGTGCCAGGAACACTCCAGATGCTCCATATAAAGACATTTACATTGGCTGCTATAACTGGAAACCTATCAGCTGCATATCTTCATGATCAACCCCTCTTCCCCCTCACATACACTCCTGTAAACTTTCATGTAGATGATCCTTCCCACTGGGCCACACGGACTACCCTGTCTAAAACAACGACCCATTCCGACTCTCACCTCCACTTCTCCCATTGCTAACAACCTTGCTCTATTGCCTGGTCCCCTCCCGCCAATATCTGTCACCTTCTAGGAAGATATTTATGCTATTTGTTTGGGGTGTTTAATGTTTGTTGTCTCCCTTTTCTCACTAGAATCTAAACTCCGTATGTGCACCAGTTTCTATTACTTTTTCTTCATTACTTTAAGTATCTATGTATTTGCTAAATGAATTTTTGTGATTCCTTGATATTTTTTATCTTCCACTGGGGACTTTTGTATCATAAAAACAAAGCACATGCCTATTTGACTCATCACCATATACCTGAAGTCCAGCATGTGTCTGAACATTCTTTTTAAAGATTTATTTATTTTTATTGGAAAGGCAGATATACAGAGGAGAAGAGACAGAGAGCAAGATCCTCCATCTGATGGTTCACTCCCCAGGTGGCCGCAGTGGCTAAAGCTGAGCCAATCTGAAGCCAGGAGCCAGGAGCTTCCTCCCAGTCTCCCACAAGTCCCAAGTCTTTGGGCTATCTTTGACTGTTTTCCCAGGCCACAGGCAGGAAGCTGGACCAGACGCGGGGCTGCCGGGACTAGAACTGGCGTCCACATGGGATCCCGGCGCATTCAAGACAAGGACTATCACGCCGGGTCCCGTGTGTCTGATCATAATAGGTGAGTAGTAGATACCTGTTGAACAAAAGTGAAATAGAGGATGGGGATGTAGTAAGAATTCATGGTCTTTCATGTATGGTCCAGTTTTCTTTCTGTATTACCTTACCAATGTGATCCTTTTGCTCTATTGTATCATGTTGTCGATTACTATAGGGGCAACTTTGGATCCAAAGCATGATCTCTTATTTTGAGTGTGTAAGAACTTAATTTCATTCATTTTCTCAACTCTTAATCAGTGTAATGGAACTAGATTACTACAACTGGAAGATATACCAATTTAGAAATCAAACTATCAATTTATTATTGTGCATCCAGAAACCTAACTGCCAGATTTTTTAAAGATTATCATTTGGGTTAATAGCAAATCATATATGGACCTAAATTAGAATATTATCCCCTGTTATATTTGTGTTTTATATTAGTAGGATTTGAGGCAATATCCTTTATTTCAAATCACCCATCAGTGATTTTTGCCAATTCTTTTTGTCCAAGTCTCACTGGGAATTATTTATTTTATTTCTTTTTTGAGAGTTTTTTTTTTTTGTTTTCTTTATTAACAGTCTATTACATACTTATTTACAATTTTATTAATTTCTACTCTTACCATTATTATGTCCTTTCTCTTCTGGTTTTACTTTCCTGGTATTTTGTTTGTTTGTTTGTTTGTTTGTCATTTTTCCCCCTGTATCTGAGGTCGGGGGAGAAACAAAGGGAAAAGCCCCACCCAGCCTCCCACCCATCCCAGAACTCCAGTGTGAGGCGCACTCCGAGGGTCCTGCTCAAACAGTTTTGACAGTTCAACAGTTCTGGATTGCTGCCAATCTCGCCATTCCAATCACAATGAAACCTATTCAGAGTCCACTGGCTGACATAGTCTCTTCACGGTTGGGGTTCTGAGATCAGCAGTTCAGTTGAAGCAATCTCCAAAGAAATTTCATCTGAGATATTCCCAGACACGATTTTTGCATGAGTTTGCTAGTACAGGGTCCAACACTGTTGTTGCGCCAATCAGTTTATGCACATGCTGGTCGTTGCTATTGCTGGGTCAGTTCTGTTTCCAGCCCTGTCTTCCTCATGAACCAACAGGTGTTGTAGTCCAGCTCAATCCTACCCACTCCATACTCGGTCCTCACGCAAACCAGTGGGAGCTGCAGCCTAGTTGGGGTGACTCCTCATAACCCCCGCCAGTTCTGCCCCCTACCCTGGTTCCCATGCTTGCCAGTATGTACTGCAGGCTTGTCCAGTCTGTCCCACATCCCATTTAGTTCTCATACATGTCAATGGGCATTGAAGCCTAGTTCAACCCAACCAACCTACTATTCAGCCCACACACATACTAATGGGTGCCTTTCTGCCTAGCCATGCCTGCCCCTGTCCTGGTCTTCGTGCTGTCTAGTGATAGTGGTAACCCCGAGGGAGGTGCCCACTATCTCCTTACTAGGCCACTCCCACTCCCAGATTATGTACTCTCCAGGTGGTTCTGGCTTTTGACTTGACAAAATTAGCTCCCAGTGCCAGCCTCTGCCAGCTGATGCTGCGGCTAAGCCCAACCAACCCTCAACCACTCTAATTTTTGCTTGCACCAGTCGGGACAGTGAGCCCACCATGGCCCTTCCCTTATCTAGCTCACATGAGGCCCACAGGTATTATAGCCCTGCCTAGTCTGGTCTGCCATCTCTACTCACACTTTCCAGGGGGAGTGGCTATCCAGAAGGGGAGCCCACATTCCCCT